AGATGACTTTCGAAAACCCGATAGTTTTAGTGGTTGTGAGACAGGCTGTTGTTTCCTGGGTATGTCTCCCTCCTGCCTTGGGTTTTCCGAGGTCGTTTGAGTAGGCATGGTATATATTTATACACACACACACATGTATTCAACATGTCATGCTAACAACCTCTTAGCTCCTTATTTTATATAAACTCTCATGTAAAATGATAACCGCAGCCTGTTATGCACCACCCAACGATACGAAGGAGCATGTGATATCATGTGGAAATCCTTACCAAATAGGGATTTGTTTCCTTGCAAAGAATTCAACTAATCTCCAATTGTTCTCGCAGCAGCAGGAGGATCAGACAACCCAAGAGCCAACCGGACTTGTGCTCATCTCATCCTTACTTTCACCAAAGAGCGACTCATATAACCACCAACTCGTCCCAGAAGTAAAAGTGAGTTTGTTAGGGAACCAGCGTAGCACACTTGTTAAGGAAATGAGATATCTGCCCCGAAACCAAATTCTGTGGCTGATGTGTGGCCACAGCAGCAGTGTTGAGCTGAGCTGTTGAGTTTTGTTGGAGAGAGAGAGGAGAAAGCGATAATAGTGCTAAACCGATGTCCGGCTATTCAGTCACTGAATATGAACGCTGGGGCTTTTCGGTGAGGACATAATAGGCGAAAGCTACCACGAGCAATAAATGGAACACCGGATGAATGCAAAGTCAGCGAAAAGGAGACCGGATAATGACGAGGGCAGATCAAGTTGATACAAACAATGCCATGCCAGTACGCGAATAAAGGAATGTTTGGATATGGTAATTTTCTAAAGCCACCGCTGAACGCTGCCATTCAGCCTCGTGTTCCATCCAAAATTGAGTTTCAGTAATGTTGTACACGTTTTCCTCCTATGAAAGTTGAAACAACTAAATTCACGGACGAACCATAACCAGTCATCCATCTGACTGGAAAAGGCGTGATGAGATGATGATGATGATGATGCCACTACTACGTACTTGTACGGGATAAGTATTTATATAGCTTTCAGTGTATAAATTATTGGGGCAGCAGTCTCGAACTATGTAGATTCTCCCAAACAATGCACACTGTAAATCCATTCAGACACGAAGATGGATTAAATGTTAGACTTTCTGCTGACTTTGCTCAAAGCTGATGTCAATGGCGGCGTGCAAGCAGTGGTGCGATGCAGAACAGGGACAAATTTGTTGACTTTACTCAAAATTACAGGGCAAATGAGTGTATATTAGTTTTACATTCAGACAACTTCTCTCTGTAGTCTGTGCCTCTCTGATCCTTGAAGCCCAGCCTACGTAGTTAAATATACACATCAGCGTACATAGTACGTACGATCTGTGGATGTTTTGAGCGACCTTTGATCTTCCAACTTCATTTGCTCTGGCTTTAATATAACATTTAGCTTGTTGGCTTCTGTTTTATTAACTGGTGCGAATTCTACACCGCTGGGTTGTCTTTGCTCCATTGAACAGGAGCTCAAAGGAAGAGGCAGGAAAATAAATAGCCAACAATCAGTAAACAATAACACCAAGGAGCTCTGGTAGTTTCATTTGGATCCAATTCCACATAAATCAAAAAGGAATGCAATAAATTTACCTTATTCGGTTTGCAATGAAATGACCAAGTAATTGTGTTTTGTGTAGCTTTTGGCTGCTCACACTTTCCCTCACTACACGATGGAATATAAATACTTAATTCTCATCGATTCCTACAAGTGCAAGATTTGTAAAGTGACATTGAGTTGAAATTTCACCAACAAAGTTGAAGCATGAATTATCCTATCTACCATTCATGGCTGTCATTCATATCTTGTATTTGCCCATTTTGTTGACAACGGCAAGAGGGCACTCATTTAAGAATATGAGCAAAAGTAATTAAACAAGAGTTGTTCCAATATAATTCGAAATTGTATCATCACGCAAAGCAATCAATGAGGGATTTCACGTCAAGTTCGTAATCTACGTAACTGCGTTAGGTTTGTAAGTTTACACACTCTCGACGTGAGTTGACTTTGTAAACATTTTCGTAAACATTTTTTAGTAAAAAAAGATATCGCATATAAAACGTCATCAAAATGTTGCTAGCCAACTTTATCCAAGCTTACACCAAATGACATGTAATTATTTTTGAATTTTTTTGCCTAAAATATCAGTTTTTCAGGAATTACACAGCCATTTCTTATGTCACAAAATTCTATAATATACCAAAATGATTGTATGATCAAGACCGATCGATTGATACCCCTCTGGATGAAGTGTGTCAATTTAGCCCAGATTTGACATTTGGGGGCTGGTCGGATAGCGACCAATATTTTCGGCTGGCAGAAATCTTTTGTTAAATAATTAAATTAATTTGCATGTTGACGGGACGAGATCACAAACAAATTACAATAGACAATTCGTCTCTAAGACAATTTCAACCGAAAATTCAGATCTCAAACACTCGAATTATTTACGAACTTTTGTTTACGAACCAAAAACATGCGTTTGAAGTGCGTAAGTTTCGTAAAAGTTCGTAAGTCAATTTTCCTTAGAAATGTGTGTAAAAGTTCGTAAAAGTTTGTAAGCTTACAAACCTTACGCAGTTACGAAGGTTACAAACTTTGACGTGAGTTCCCTCGATGAAAACAATCCATAATTTCGAGATTAAATTAACAGTTCAAACTTGAGGGAGTAAGATTTAAAGAGTGATCAATAATAATGATTCTGTTGATTTATAAAAAATGCAATTCAGTTGATCAACTTTCCTAACGTTTACAACAAGTGAATTGTAAAATAGCCGGCAGTTACGTTGCGAAATAGCCAAAAGGAGAAGACTCCATAATGGAGAAAGCTTTTGCCTATAAAGAAAAAACATGGGATTTTGGGAAGTTGCGTCGGAGTGAAAACTCAAAGTGCGGTGTATAATCATTCCAAAGAGCGTTGCGCATCGATGTCACTTCACTCTCACTTCAGCCGTTCAAGTCGAAAATGAAGAAAACGTGGGCATGGTTAAATCATGTCACTTTAATGCGAAACGAAATGGGATTGAGCCGACTGAAAGTAATTCCAGTCTGCTTTCCTATTTTATACAGTTTGTGCTTTTTCCTGTCGATTTTACTCACGACCGACTACAGCTTACTCACAACTCCAGTCTGAGCAGAAAAGACAACTAACACGGCACCACCACTGGTCACCAGCATCACGGGGAAAGCAGCTTTCCAACTTTTGAACTATTGAATAGTTCAATCCCGTTAAGTTCCACCCGTTGATAGATTCAATTATCATCCGGGTGGCTGCATAGCGACGATGCGAAAATGTCGCAGTTGGTTGTTTGCTTTGAAAAAGAAGAGTTTCGCAATTTATTATTGTCAAATATCTCCGTCTACTTACGTAAAAGAAGGTAAAAGCTAAGATATTTTGGTAATTACGTTTAGGATGCATTGTAAACAAGAATAAATGAAACGGATGATGAACTGAGCAAAGTCTGGAAGCAATTCTTTAGTAACCAAACCAAGTTGTATAATTAATCGACCAAGCAGTTTGAATTGAACCCTTAATTTTTGGGTCATCTCATTTCCTGCCCCACATAAACCTAATCCGAAATGCAAACGGTGTAGTTATTGTGGCTGTATTCATCCCACTGTGAAATCACTCTGGATTTCCGGTCCATTGTGTCGGTACGTGGTTTGTGGAGGCTGGAGAAATCTATTCCCTCGTTCAGGTTTTAGACTTGATATCAACAAAGGCGAAAGATATCTCTAAACGGGAACATTCTTAAAGTATCAAAATTAATTTCATGAGACACAAAACGCAATCATATTTCTGGGCCAAAAATATCAATGTACCTCTTAAATTTCGACTGTCAGTATGGAATGAAGTGTTCTGCAGAATTATAAATTATCTCTTGGACTTTATTCCTATTCCTGACTGAACCAAGCATTGTTGTCAAAAGTCGGATATGGCGCCAGTTTGAGTCGTCACAAGTCAAAAACAGTGTTCTCAATGAATGATGTGCATATTAGTGAATGGACGGAACGGGTGGTGCATAATGCAGAATCTACGTTGTCAAATGAGCTACTTTATATGTGGCAGAGGGAACATGGAGAGGGCGCAAATGGGGTGAAAGCATTAAAGGTTGACATGAATGTATTGCCTTTCTTTCTCTTCGCACTGTCTCCGAGTGAGAAATTCGCCACGAAAAGAGATCACATCTCATCGTCTCATCTCCAGATTCATTCGAATCACAAGGACGAGTGAGAGTGCAAGCTTTGCTTTCTCCAGATGCCAAATTCTCTGCTTTGTGAATATGCAAATAAGTACGTACTCTTTCAGCACAGACGGCTCCTGTTCCATCTTGAAATGTGAGATGTGATAACGTGAAGTTGAGTCTCGTATCAAAGTCCCAATCGCACATGCATTCTCCGAACGACAATGACAGTAAATGAGTCCTGAGAGTAAAATCCGTTTTTGTCTTTTTCACCCTAGCTGCTCTACCGGGCAGAATAGATGTGTGTCTGAAATTGTTTCCGAGTTCATGCTGGGGAATAAATTATAGGAAGTTGATTGGGGTTTTGGGGAGCGATGTACATATGTTCGTATGCATACGTACATATATGGCATATGGAAATAATATGGATACGGTGTTGCGTATAAGAAAAATTAGCTCAGAATCAGAATGAGGAAATACCTGGATAAATAGCAAGAATGATAATTTGAGGGTATTTGGAAATTGATATTGATTAAAATTTCCGGCATCACCTCATGACCACAAAGAAAACAAACTGATGGGCCTTTTGCTAGCAAAGAACCATTACTCATGTGGCAGTTGGGCTGGTGTTGATGTCATTATTGGCATTACACTTGGTGGTGAAAGACAGGAGAACTGTTTGGTGGTGGTGTCAGCATGCAACCAAAACCATGCAAGTGGGGAGTAGTATAAAGTGTTAGCTTAGTTGGCAGACTTTCACTTTGCATGTCAAACACGACCATGAATGAGAGACTCACCGTTTGTTTGTCGAGCGCATACTTAAGCACGGGAAGGCTAGCACTTTGGTGATGATGACGGTGCAATAATTGATGGCACAAACATTGTATGGCGCTGATGATGAAGAGGGATACACGACGTGGTTCCAAACTCCATTAAAGCGCTGTTGTTCCGTCCACTGCTCTGCAATTTGGTAGCAAACTATGCTGATTGATAGAATCGCGCTCTATCAAAGACTAGTTTTCCGACTGAGGGGATCACTCTTCCCATGGATCAATATCTCATCCTGTTGAAAGTTTTCAAAGTTCTTCATAGAAGTCATGACCATTATGTCTTTATCACTTTCATGCAAGTCCATCTTCTTGGTGGTGGTGGAACCGCGGCTGCTTCTGCTTCTGATACTGCTACTTCTGCTGCCACCCCCGCCATAGCTGTTCTGCCCCTCCTCACCCGTTTTCACGACTGTCACAGGGCTGGAAGAATTCATGTTGGTCACCACTAACTCCACCACGGTCGTCGTCGTTGTGCCAGGCATGTTCTCAACTACTACTACTTTGGAAGGCTCTCCTTCAATTAGGGGAGTGGTGGGAGTAAGTCTTTGGTGGTGGTGGCCCTTTTTCTTGCTTTCACTCGGACACTGGCTCTCATCATGACAGCTCCGCGTGGAAAGCACGGCTCGCATGAAGGGCGTGGATCAGAGAACAGTTTCGTTCGTGCACGTACGGGGCCCATTGACTAGAGAGTATCGCGATGAACCATTTCTCTTCGCCGTGGACCCACCACGGACAAATAGGTCTTTGAACGTCTCTCGAAATTGTCTCGACATCCCGCAATAAATGGCAAAATTGATTGGGTAGCTCACAATGATGAAAAAGTTGAAAAAGAGGATACAGATGTTCACCACGTAGTACTGCAAAGAAATTCGACCCAGAAAAAATTGTCATTTCCACTCAAACCCATTACATTTACACTATAGAAAGAAAGTAGAATGCAGACAGACAGACAGACAGACATGATAAAAATAGAAAGCAGTCTTACGTCAAGAAATTCAAATAATGTGCTCGAACTGTAAACAAATGCGTAATTAATTGTAATTTGTTAAATTTTTATGGCAATGGCAATCATGAAATGATAATCAGATAAACATCTATGATATCAGATAAACAGCGAGTCGACTCACATGATATGGAGCACGGTAAGGACGGCGAGTGGAACTTCAACCAAAAGAAATACTGTGACCACAACAATTAACATAATTGTTGTGGAATTCCTGCAACATGAATGGATTATTTTAGCCCATTTTAGTCGAATGCATGTATGACATGTTTCATGAAATATTGGCATGAATTAAGCAAAATCACTCACGACTCTCTCATTTTCTTGGACTCGCTCGTCTTTTTGTCTTTGAATAGCTGCAGTCGTTTTTGCATTGCTTGCCGCATGGCTCGAAAGAGGAGAAAGTTGAGGACAATGAGTGCAACACATGGGATAAAATGAATAAAGATGACTCGAAACCAGTAGTAAACGTTGAAGTAGACGTCCTATTGGATACACAGCGATTATTGCATTTTGTCACAATCCGTGCGATTCAAAGCCAGAGGCATAGTTTAATTAATTGCTAACTGATTATTTTCTCATGACAATTTGAACTCCTTGATTTAGTAAAAGGGTAAATAATGGATGGATTTACGTACCAGAGTGATGGTGTTCAACCATTGTGCGTGTTCCATGCGACAGACTGGTCTCAACTCCCCTTCCCAAACAATCTCGGTGGTGACGTAAACTCGGTCAAAAAATCTGGTCGACTGGTGGAGAAATGCGACGACGTATATCCAAGTGATGCCTTTGAGCACTCGAGGCATGGTGCACCACGACCGGGCGACGGGTGCATGACAGACGTAAATGTACCGTTGCACTGCCAGTGCCAGAGTCAGCCAGATGGATGCAGTGTGGAAAAAGTTTGGAATCGTCTGAGGACCAAATATTACACAATTTCATTATGAGCAAATCTGCATTATGCAACTAGATGAAGGCGTAGGCATGAGTTATCAATATTCAATTTTAGACGTATGGCTAACGAAATGAGTTTTAATCCAACTGTAAAATTTATCTAAGGCAGCCTCGAAAGTTTGGACTTTGTTACTCGTGGCGTCTCCAAAAATATGAGTGTCAGAAACAGTGAAAAAACAAACAGGTCGTCAATTATAATATCATATCTGTAACAGAGCAGATTGAAAAATACTTTCCTCGTTCATCATGGACCAGGCATAACAAGCTGCTAACGGGTAGAACGGTTTGTAGTGGTTTCCAAAGGTGTACTGTAATAAAGGAACTGCCAATTAAATAATATCGAAAACAGGGTTCCAAAAGTTCTCGTTGCAGTGCAGTGCGGACATAAGAACTTGATACATTATTATCTTCTTAGAATTATTGAATATGTACATAAATGTATAGCTTTCTAAGTAGTTTCTCACCATATAGAGCAGCCAAGGAGCTGGGAAGAGGACTGTCAGCATGTCAGAAATTGCCATTGCCATCAACACTGCATTTGTTGGTGTCTGTTGGTCAGGAAAACGTTTTCAGAAATTTTAGTAATGTAAATAACAGCAGATTAAAGTACACGGAAATATTTAATTTTGACATATGTTGAGATGTATCTGTAAAAGTATGAACGTAAAACGTAGTGGACCTTATCACTAGGTACTAGGTTTCTCTAGCTGAATTAGGAAAACTTATCAGAGGTATCTTACGCAGCTCAATGGACACATGTCAATACCAAGAGAATCAAGTGTTATCGTGATCTGAACCAATACCAACCGGTTGTTTCTGTCTCGAGCAAATTACAAAAAAGATGCACAAAGGTATGCAAGAAATTGGCTATTTAAATATCTTATAAGACGGGACCTGATACTCCATTTATTATTAATGAAGAGTGGAGAAATCCCCACAGAGCAGTTTTATTCGTAAACCACATTTCCCTCAAACGTACACTTAGCATGAATATTTCGTATCTTTCTAAAATTTGGTTAAAGTTGAAGTCTACAAATTTCTAGTCCTCTTACATACATTTTGCCGAAAAACCTCCCTCAGTGAATCTTAGTCTATGTGCTACGGATTGCCGAAACCTGTAATGGTGCCAAGACAAAGGCCAGCCGAGATCATGTTTTTGATCATTAGAATTAGATTGTGATTCCATTTGCTTGTTTATTGCTTTCACTAAACTCATTAGTATCCTTGCCCACTGATGAATTAGTCACGTCCACATCCGCATTTTCTCATACAGCAGGTACCATTTGTACAAATGTGCATCAAATCATTGCTTACCATGCACGGACTACATAAAAACTTATGATATTACTTACACGCATATGTCGTTTCGCCAGCACTACCACGACCTAAGGTGGATATGAATAAAAAATAGCTGATTGTTGGCATTGATGGGATTGGTGCCATGAATGTCAAGACTTACGAGGGTGTTGGCGATGATGGTAATCACGAAAAGAACTGGTACACAGTAGCCGTACAAGGGTTGAGCGTACTCGATGGGGATTTCCGTGGTAATGTTGAGATAGTTCCGAGTCTCATTCCCTTCGAGGAGGAGCGAGGAGTCGTTTCCTTGTGCTGGGCATTCTCCCCCACAGTCAGGTGTCGAGGGAGAGGAAGAGGGGGACAGCCCCAGAACGTTGTTGTCGTCGTCGTCGAATGGAAGGTCCATATCTTGCAATTTGAGTTAAGTGCTTGGGAAGAAATGTCCAAATTTAGCTTTGATAGTCAGTCTATAGGCTGCTAGAAATTATGTAGGTGACGAAAAGAGGAGACAGCACACTCGCTCACTCACACCTCACCCGATGACATTTAACTAATCCACTTACATGTCCTTTTCCTGTCACCAAGTAAGTTACAAATCCTTGTTTAGCATATGCAAACTACAACCACTTTACGCTTATAACCACTTAATCAGCAAATGTCTCTCGCTAAATCCGGCTGTTACAGCCCCACACGTCTTTTGTTGCTCCAATGTTCACCTCCAAAGAGCAACGCCGGGCATGAGGAGGATGGCAAAACTTTGCAAGGAGGGTCAAAAGAGAGGCTATTTGCACATCAATGCTTGGGCATCCACGTACGCACAGGATGGACGATCCGATGACTTTGTGTGGGTAAACCGACTGGCTTTTGGAAAACAACAAAGCAGCGTCTAAGGTGGAAGGAGACAGAAGGAGGCGAGCACTTGAGGAAGTTTAACTTGACGCTAATGGCGTTGATGTGGCCAAACTTCGGTCCAAGATTATTGATGAACTCTGTCGAACAAATAATAATTAAATTAAACGTGTCGGATTCGGTTCATCTTTCTCGAAACCAGATGAAAGCAGATTTTGCTCAAACCCTTTTTCCAACTTTCGTATTATACCATGTGCATAAATATGTTTGGCAGTTTGTTACTTTTGTAAGCAAGCGTAAACTCGGAGAAAGTCACGTTATTGTGAACCAACATAATTGGACAATCTCACTTTACCTCATGCACTCCCCTTGTCATGAGGATGCATGAAATCATTAAAACTTTTTCAACTATTTGTATTGAAGAATTGTAGAATTGAAATTCTGTTAGCCTTATTTTCCGAACCGCTCTAAACAAGTTAAAAGCACTTTGTATGTATACTTAAATTGGGCAATTTGAGATTATTTTGAGTTTTTTTAATGGATTGTCCAATTAATGTCGACTCCATTTGTCATCAATTTTAATCCGATCTAATAACTTGATGCAATTTCGAACTATTTATTTAATTCATCTGGAGTTGTATCCACACAAATCGATACGCATACTTGACTCTTGTCTGGTTTTGACGAGTTAGAAAAAGCAGCAAGTTTATCAGAGTACTAAGAAATGACTAAACCTTAGATGAAATTAATACGTGGATAGGAATCCATACTTTAAAAGCTGATGGCATGAATTTGAATGGTTAATGACTTTTGGGTTTCGATGTTGACTTCCTTCAAAATAATCTACTTTTGGAATGAGCTATAACGAAGAAGATGATGACGACGAGAGAGCAACTACTTTGGTGCCGGTGAGTACGAAATAAGTATTTAGTAAGCATTGAAAGATCTCCAAGGACTCAGTTGCTGGGTTTCAAGTGGGCACTACAAGAACTGCAAGACAATTATGGAAGCTAATTAGCTTCAACCAAGTTTCCTCTCGTATATCACAGCAACCAGAATGTCGATATAGTCCTATTCCCTACGTAGGTTACTTGGAATTAGTCGACTTTCGAGCTTTTAGGTCGAGTGTCACTCTAATCAGCAGAGGCACTCCATAACGAATAAGTCCATAGGCAAGGATTCCAGGAAAGCAGAGTTTGTAGAAAGTACATTGTCGAATTCAGTAAGACGCACGTTGGTAAATATGTCATAGCAAGCTCCCATTTTTTGGATTCAAATGTTTGGCAATAAATCAATACAAACACCAAATTCAATGATAGAACTTGCGCAGATAATTCAATGCACTTGACAAAACAATTTTGCAAAAATGAGTCCGTGGGAGTTTTTTCCCAGACTTGTGTCACGCATTAACTGTGACTTTAACGGTTGAAGCATATTGTGAGAAGACTTATTTTATGCATAAAGCTATGAAGTGAAGCAATATTAATGAAACTTTTCCCCTAAATAACAAGGTGGTCGTTCCCAGACAAGATTCTGACAAGCTCAGGAGGAGCAGAATTGTTCTAGAGTTGAGAAAAGCTGAAATGTCGGGAGAAAGTTCCGAACCAAACTCAGAGCAACAGGTTTTTCTTGCCTTTTTGAATCCTTACTGGGCCGTTTGTGCAGACTTTGTTTGACTTGTCAAACTCAAACACTGGGGGATCTATAAAGAAATATCCACCAATATGACACGGTTGGAAAAGTGCCTCCTCCTCGTGTTTCAGTTAAACCTCATATACTTTCCTTTAGCAACCACATATTTTTTCCATAAAGAATGTAACCTTGTCTCTTGGGCAAAGTCTTTTTTTCCACGTAGTGGAGAACTCAATTTACATACGCTGAGTCAGCCTTCACGGGGCTGTTCCATGCCCATTCATTGGGGAGATGAATACATCCCTGTTTGTGGAACGGAGAAAGTCGACGAGGACTGAAAAGGAGGCGACGACGAGCCGTGTGGGGTATCATGAACACGTTATCGATTACTTTTTCTCTCTTTTTGTTATGGCAGAGTGTTAACCGTCTTATTTGGAGGATTAGCATGAATTTTCCTCCTCTTTGGAGGCATGGAGTAGTAAGAATGTGCTGCCGGGTTGGGATTGATCAAAATACGACCACCATCAGCATATAAATTATAGATAAATGATTTCTGGCTTCAATTTTGGGCACAGAATTTGCAAAATCGTTTCGGGTCGATAAATATAATTAAACGTGACGACGAATTAATTTTAATTGGGGTGGAGTGAAAGCATTCATTTCACATGTCATGCGCCCCATAGTGCTCGGGATTAGGGAGGTTATTACATATTTATGCATTTGGAAAGTGGTTGTTAGATGACCCATTTTCTTGTGGCTTGCGTGCACTGTATGTATGCCAGAAAATACTTGTGAGATATTTGCTACTCGTGGAGAAAGTCGCGATCGTGTTAGTCTTATTTTAATATTACAAATTGTCATATTATGAACAGGGAATTAGAATCCTTGGTTGAGACGAATGCCTATTGTTTAAATAGGCTGCGGGGCTAACTCTGAGTTCGAACTAGGGAAGTTGGGAATTTGAATCCTAGTCAACTCAATATTTTTGCAATGTTAACTCGTCATGTTATGTAGAAACACTTCATTAATGGAACCAAACGTTAAATTATTATTTGCCAATAGTTTTTCACGCAAGGCTGATGAAATCTAACGTTAAAATTGTTAGAATGGTCAACCCATATGTATCACGCGTCTGGTGTACATATAGCATTCCTGCACTATAGTGAGGTAAATAAACTTGAATAAAAGTAGCAAAACCAAACCACAGAATAGGGGCAAACTAGGAACGAGAGGAATACGAGCATATGCACGTAATATGTCTCAACAGTATGATTATTATGGCAGAAATATGTTATTAATTGGTCTGGAGTAGTCCATTGTAACATGAGAGGTTGCTACTTCCAGTTCTTTAGATTTAGTCCTATCCTTGTTACAATACCACAAATATTATCCGACTTGCAATTGTGCTGGAGAGCAGGTAGTGGAATTAGAGGGGAATTAGGAGCTAGTTTTGTGGTTTTCATCAAACATAGTGCTGCTGCTGCTGGTGGTGAAGACTTGGGAGATGAAGCGAGAACAAATCCATCATTCATGAGGCTTCAATTTCCAAACGCAACGCTGCCAACTAAGCAAAACCACACGCGCGGACGACAGCCAGCCAGGCAGCAGGCTACATAAATATATAGTCATCCGACCACTTCAGATTTCAGGAAAAATTCGCTGATCGATGTTCAAGGTTAGGATTACGTAAGTAAGTAAGTAATTCATTCTTCAGGATTTTCTACTCAAGCGACGGCCACACACATTTCCTTCCTTTCTCTGATTTCACGTAGGGGGAAAGGAGAAGCGATTTGCGGACTATTTTGTGCCTTAGCCCACGGAAGACGAGGTAGGCTTAAATGATACGAGAGATTGTTGCTGACTACTGGATACTCCGCTATCAGTCGTGTCGTGTGTTGTCTCCTCCTTTCTCCTTGATTTAAATGGATGGTGCGTAAGTGCAGCAGCGGGTGTTGCTTTTTCCAGTTTGTGCTAAGTGATGTGGTAAAACTCTAACTTTCTGACGAGATGACGCTGATTCGAAAATTTAACCTTGAAACCTCCTCCTTGTTATATTCCTGGCCTCATTGACGTGACAAACTGATGGGCGCCGATCATGATTCCGTATAGGTGGAACATGCTGGTGTATACCTACATAGGTTTTGATACAAGATAGCTGCGAGGAAAGGAGATGGATGACTTGGTCCTCTAATTATTTAAAGACTGTAACTTGGGGTAGACAAAGTTTGCATTCACACTTTGAGAAAACATGCACCATGCACAACTTTCCTAAATGCGTTTATTGCTTCAAAAGAAAATCTTTTTGATTTGATTTGCAACTCAAAAATTGCTCAAAAACTTTGGTTGTTTAATAAGTTAACAAAACTTTGTACTTTGCCAGATTTAATCCATTGCCTTTGATGTTGAGATTTGCTTCATCAAATTGTTCATAAATTAATAACATCATTTTTTATATATCGATCCAGAGCTTCACTTGATTTTCAAGTGGAAACAACTCGGTATTAAAATTGAGTCGAGTCATAATGAAAGATCCCATTATGATATGAATTCTCAATTTTGTAACGAGCCCAGAAAAAGTCAAGTAAATCTAGCAAAAATGAAGTGCGCTCGCAAAGTATGCCTCGAGCATTTCACTCGACAAAATCGGATTATATGTAGTAAATACGACATACAGAGTATACATATATACACATTTATAGATAGCAAACTCGTCCTGGTAACATTTCGTGGAGAAGAAAATAAAATAAAACAAGCTGACAGGTTTTTTTTCTTAGAACTTATTAGATTGGAGTTTGAGAGTCTCGAAAGTAGTATTCTTCGTTTGTGGCAATGTGTTGCTGATGGAGGAAAATGTGAATTTGGGAGGCACGAGGGAATGACATATCTTGCAATCAGTTAATTTGCTCCACAAAGTTATCAAAAAATTAAAAGTTTAATTTTGGCCGTATGTTCTCATCTGTCTTGACAACATGGAGTATCACAATCCACCCACGTCAACCACCGCAAGTAAGTAAATATGGTACGTGAAAGCAAGAAACATGACAAGGTTGGGGGACAAGGTGTCCCATTATGTGTGCTCAGCAGTACATAGCACGGAGCTCTAGAGAGGAGAAAGTTTGACGAAAGCAATGGAGAACACGACCACTGAGGAGCAGTGAACACACGCTGAATTATCTACTTTTGCTTCACCCGGTTACATATTACCGTACTAACTGTGAATTAGGATTTGTACCAAAATTAAGAGGCTGCCCACTGTTCCCAGTGACATGTTTCGTGTCAAATCATAATTTGAAATGAGACTGGCCTCCGTTTAATATTGCATCTGCTGGCTCAGTCGACAAGATGGATGGGCAGCGTACTTGGATGATCGCCTCGACATATTATTTGATAACCACTTCAGCAAGAGAGGAAACCCATCTAGCCACTTGTACTACTGCTCAGTGGTCAGGCCAAAGTGGTCCAAAATTTCTGGAAAGAATGGGATTTTCAGAGAGAGGATTCACTGGTG